CGCTGGTGGCTCACGCCTGTAATCCTAGCTACTCAGGAGGCTGAGATCTGAGGATCACGGTTCAAAGCCAGCCCGGGCAGGAAAGACCATGAGACTCCTACCTCCAATAAACCACCAGAAAACCGAAAGTGGCGCTATAGCTCAAGTGGTAGAGCGCTCGCCTTGAGCTGAAGAGCTAAGGGACAGTGCCCAGGCCCAGAGTTCAAGCCCCACGACCGACAGACAAAAAAAAAAAGAAAGTAAGAAAGAAAATTATTAGAGTCGGGCACTGGTGGCTCACACCTGTAATCCTAGCTACTCAGGAGGTTGAAATCTGAGGACCGAGGTTCAAAGCCAGCCGGGCAGGAAAGTCTGTAAGACTCTAATAAAAACCACTAGAAAACCGGAAGTGGCGCTGTGGCTCAAGCGGTAGAGTGTTCTCCTTAAGCTGAAGAGCGCAAGGACAGTGCCCAAGCCCAGAGTTCAAGCCCCATGACCGACAAAAAAAAAGAAAAAGAAAATAATAGACATTACATACCATTATGCTACATGTCTTAAACCTGAAAAGGTCCCAAAATTTCTTTTTTTTGAGGGGGGAGTCTGGTCGTGGGGCCTGAACTCTGGGCCTGGGCACTGTCCCTCAGCTCTTTAACTCAAGGTTAGCACTCTATCACTTAAGCCACAGCGCCACTTCCAGCTTTTTTCTTTTTGCTTATGTGGTGCTGAGTAATCGAACCCAGGGCCTCATGCATGCAAGGCAAGCACTCTACCACTGTGACACCTTCCCAGCCCTCCCAAAATTTTTAAGAGGTGGTTTTCTTGTTTCAATAAATAATAAAGAAGGCCCTCCTGGTATCTCAGTCCGCCCAGGCCCTCCTGCGTTCCCTCTTCCCCCAGTCCTCGGTACCCATCCCAGTGCCAACCCGCTGCCTGCCCGTGACGCAGGTGCTAGAAAAGGTGCCCAGCCTCTGGTACCTCCCTTAGGCCTGAACCCGACCAGCCCCCCTTCTGGAGGTGGCTTTGGGGAAGGCCTTCCAGAGTGCAGAGAGCACCTGGAGGCCTGACCAGTGAGTGCTCTCCTGTGTTCCAGATGTACCTCCAAGAAAAACAGGTGCTGGAGGAGCTAAGCCGACACACGGGGGCCAGGCTCCAGCCCCTGAGCAGGTGCCTCTACTGATGCCATGGAACTCCAGGACAGACAAGGGCCAATGGGGCCAGGATCGGGCCCTGACTAGCCCTCCACAAGGGAAGCTCTGCTAGTGGTGGTAGTGTCCACAGGACTACAGAGGCGCCAGCCAGCCCACGCTGCATTCAGAAAACTGCCATCATGCTTGTAAACAAAAGCACTCTAAGCCCTTAGAAGTGAGAGGGCTCACAAAAACCGCTGTGCTGCTTGAATGCCTAGCCACCTAACCCCCAGGAGCTCTGTGACTTGAACCCTACGAGAGGAGTGTCCAGGCTAGCAGCACTCCTGCTTGAACTGTGTGGTCATTATGGAAGTTGCAGAGCCACTCTTCCCTCAGCTCCCCTGTGGTACCCTGTGGACAGGACCCTAGGGCAGTGGGGGCCGAGGAGCTCCACCACCAGTCCACAAAGCACCTGTTCCCTAAAGTGCTGAGCAACTTGCCAGAAAAATCTCACTAAACAAAAAAGAAAAACTCACTAGGTCTGTATTTCCTGTTTTCTGAAAGTTGAAATAAGCCCAAAGCTTACATCCAGACTTGGTGGGCAGGTAAGGCGGGAACTGGGTCCCCATTTCCTCCGAGGTCCCCATCATGTGAAGCAGGACAAGGGAGAAAAACAAAAACAAACTTGTCCCCCTACTTTTAGATATCAAGTTAAACAAAAATAGACATATAGGGGCTGTCTCCATTTGCCCTCCCCTTTGAGATGTTAAGAAACTTCAAGGTTCCTTAAAAGAGTAGAAATGATACTGAATGGTATGAGCTGATATCAGATCTAGGGCCAACCATGAGTGAAGGGCAGTTAACAGGCAATCAATAAGAGACTCAACAGGGCTAGGAAGGTGGCTCAGTGGTAGAGTGTTTGCCTTGCATGCATAAGGCCCTGATTCCTCAGCACCACATAAACAGAAAAAGCTGAAAGTGGTGCTGTGGCTCAAGTGGTAGAGCACTAGCCTTGAGCTGAAGAGCTGAGGTACAGCGCCCAGGCCCAGTGTTCAGGCCCCACGACCAGCAAAAAAAAAAAAGAGAGACTCAAGGATCTAGCCACATCCATGGCATTGTCTAGGGGATTGTGTGTGTGCGCATGCCTGCCTGCGTGCACATGCTGATCCTGGAGCTTCAGGACTTGATTGCTGTTGCTGAGTTTTTTGCTATCACTCTACCACTTGAGCCACAACTCTGCTTCCAGCTTTTTAGTGGTTAATTGGAGATAAGAATCTCAGAGACATTCCTGCCTGGGCTGGCTTCAAATTTCAATCCTCAGATCTCAGCCTCTGGAGTAGCTAGGAGTACAGGTGTGAGCTTCCAGTGCCTGGCCTGTTCAGGAGGCTTTCTGTAGTTCACCTGGGTGAGCTTCAAGGACCCTCAAACACAGTCCTTGGATTGGTGGGTCTCCTTGCCATAAAAGTAAGAGCAGGAGCAGGCAAAGAGCCTGGCTAGGCAACCAGGGCAAAGTTATCCTTCCACAGAGTCTGCATCCCTCACTACAGCCTTGAGTGCTCCCCATAGGCAAACCACTAGACATAACTTCATCATGGCCTGGGACAGTTGACCTGTGACCCCAGACATCATGTCATGTCCCGTTGCCCATGAAGAACTTACATGGGGTTCAACTGGATGCTAGAGCTGTGCACCAGATGGGTCGCCTCTCAGGCTAAAGGAGCAGGCTGCACGCAGTCTCTGATTGGGTCTGGGGACTGCTGGAGCCCACAGGCTGTCCAATGATCTTGAGAAGGGTATTGTTACCTCCTATAGAGACCTTATTAATACCCTTGGAGGCGTGTCTGTCAATGTGAACATTTTAGCCCGCTCCTTGGTCTCCAGGCTCACCTGTACACTGGGTCCCGTAGTGAGGAAGGCACATGGGGAGTGTGGCAATTCTGACTTGTTGGGCTCTGACCTGCAAGCTTCCAAGGGTATAAAGACCAGGGCCACCCTGAAGAGGAAGTTAGTAAATGAAAAACTTACCCTTTAAGGCACTTAGTGAAAATTTACTCATAATTCTTGAAATTAATATCTTTAAAAGCTGTGCATGGTAGCCCATGCCTGTAATTCTGGCACTTTGGAAGTTGAGGCAGGAGATCTCAAATTCAAAGCCAACTGGGGCTACATAATGAGATCTAAAACAAAATGGGGGGCGGGGGTAGTTGTGGAGGTGGGAGGGAAGGGATGGGATGGAAGGGGGAAAACAAAGGAGAAGGCAACAATGCTCAATAGGAAATGTACTCATTACCTTGCTCACGTAACTGTAACCCCTCTATATAGAATTTTATAATAAAAAACGTACAAAAAATCCATTTTTTTTTACTTTTCCAAATCCAACAAAAAATAAAAAGTTTTTTTTGTTTTTGTCAGCCATGGGGCTTGAACTCTGGGCCTGGGCACTGTCTCTCTGCTTTTCAACTTAAGGCTCGCACTCTGCCACTTGAGACACAACACCATTTCTGGCTTTTTCTGCTTATATGGTGCTGAGGAATTGAACCCAGGGCCTCATGCATGCGAGGCAAGCACTCTACCACTGAGCCACCTTCCCAGCCCCAAACAAAACAATTTTATAAGAAAAAAAGTAACAAAAATTAAAAGTAAGCTCACATCTATGATCCTAGCTATTCAGGAGACTGAGACCTGAGGATCATAGTTCAGAGCCAGCCCAGGCAGGAAAGTTCCTCAGACTCTTATCTCCAATTAACCACCAGAAAACTGGAAGTTGTTGGGCTGGGAAGGTGGCTCAGTGGTAGAGCGCTTGCCTTGCATGCATGAGGCCCTGGGTTCAATTCCTCAGCACCACTAAGCAAAAAGCAAAAAAAAAAAAAAAAGCCAGAAAACTGGAAGTGGTGCTATGGCTCAAAGTGGTAGAGCACTAACCTTGGGCTAAAATGCTCAAGGACAGTGCTCAGGCCCTGAGTTCAAGCCCCATGACAGACCA